GAAACTATAAACAATATGCTAATTGCCACTTGTCGGCTGATTAGGTCGATATTAACTACAGTTACGACGACTGTCTTCCAGGGGACCTCCGTCACGAACATCCTTGTGTTCCGGCGAGTGCGTGAACGGAATAACGGGGTTCATAGTTTTTGCCGCTGCTTGTCAGGTTCCTGGGATGTGGTTCGCTTAAAATTTTTCTCTTGAATAACAAAGATATCCAAATATTAACTTTATGCTGGCGTTTTTCTCCATTCTACAAATTTGCTAACGTTCAAGGGACCACATGTAAGTCGGACAATTTGTTCGTTCCCGAATGTAATGTTGTTCTGGGAAGGGCGTCCGGTGAAACGGAGAAGTACAAGAGAATTTTATCATCAGAGAGGTTACCGAGTGGAAACGGCATGAGACGAGAAGAAATAGGGAATTATTTTGTGTTATAAAATAACCTTCATCATGTCCATCCGCTACGTACATACAGGCACATCGTCATGTATTTAATCACTTGACACTTAACAAGAAGATAGCGGTCTATTCCGTATTTCGATAGGGAATGCAAGTCCGAGCTCCAGTATCCGAATAGGCTTAATCATTCTCCATATAAACAGGAAGTCGCAACAAAGAATCGCCATGGAACCTCAGGCTATTCGATGTGGAGTTATAGCTCCAATAAATGAGCTCATTCAGGCGATTTGATACCTACTCCCTAATCCTCAAGTAAATGATGCAACAAACCGTGGTGGACACTTTCGGTACATCTGCTTCTTTGCTTGTACTCAGATTCTCTCACATGCCGTGTTATCCTAAGGTGAGAGGGCAAAGAATAAAGCCTTTGGGCGTTGATCAATCCCGTCTTGAGAATGCGCCCCGCATCCCACTTGCATTCAGAATCGTAGTGGCGTAATGAACGCGTGTGTGGCCTTTACAATGACCTGCAGTGGCCAGCCGATATACAAGTCAGAGCTTATATCTTTCCAGACTAGTCTAGTACAACTAAGCGACCACTAAAAGGAGGTTGGCCTGAGCGGATACCTATCCGGGATATTAAAAAGGTAGGCATATATATCGAATTTGTTATGTATGGAGAAGGTATGATGGGAAGTGGAACACTATCAAACAAACATGGTCAGGAAATGAAGTCCCGGCCGATATTTGTTAAGGCCAGTTGGGCCGGACCAAGGTCGGTATTCTCTACCAAATTGTTGTAGAAAGTGCGAGGATAAAAGCTCTGACTCGTACATTGGCTTGCCATCGTAAGTAACTGGACAGGACAAATTCTCATTCATTACACCTCCTCGAATGATTCCCTTTCGAATGATTTCGAATGGAAGTCGAGTGAGTGGGGCGCATCCCAGATTGTTCAGTGCCAGAACTCTCTGTCCTCTATAGTCAATTGATTGCATAAAAGTATGTTGAGAATAAGCAATGCACTACTTGTAGTTGCATACATTTCAGTAAAGGGAAAAAGTAGGTAAAGAAGTGCACGGAGAAGAGCGAGGGGGAGAGGGTCAGGAGGGAATTCATCGTGGAGCAGTATATGTAGCGCCATAGTTCCAGTTTCTAGTGAAGAGGCTGTCTAGTTGAGCAGTACTATGTACTCACTCAAGTGAACATAATCGATGAAAAAGTCTGGTCTGAATCCAACGAATCCCAGAAAGCTTCCCGCCTGAATGCTTTTTTGAGGAAACGAGCTTAAATGGAGACGCAGGCTATTCTCTGAAGCCAAACTTTTCCAACAGAAAACAAGTAAAAGAAAGGTAGCAACGTGCATTTCTAACCTGGCAAAGAAGGAATCGTCTTAGTTTGTTTACTTAAGACAACAATTTTTCGATATCCTCGAAATTGACAGGGTCGCGCTCACGCGTACGCCTCCCTCTCAAATGGTCGCTCAAAGGGCCACTACATTTGGTACGGCAATCAGTAAATGTTCACCGACTGGGCGGATCACCCAATACAAAGTCACCTATTCCTCAGTTTTTTTAGAGACTGCAATTTTGTGGAGAAGAGCTGTCGTCATTGATAATGAACGTTCTTATTCTCAAGTGATTTTTAGACTACAAATCCTTGAGTGACCATATGGAACCAACAAGATAGATGGCCTAAGCATTAGGGGTGATGGAAATAGCGGTAAAAAACTTGTTTCCGATGAAATTCAACAGATTGCAGAATAGCTATGTCTAGTTAAAGGGCATCAGCAATTCCTATAAGTCTATCGAATTCCCTTTTCGAGTTTGATATTTTACTGCTTTGCAGTGCTCTTATAATACTGGCAGGATAATGGCATTCATTGTTTGGAGCGTTACTTTGAAGCGGGAGTACAAGAGTCTTTTTGTAGACCGTGAACGTATTCGACATATGAACTGAATCACCCCATTGTGAGGTTAGGTGCCTCTTGTGATTCGGCGTATTTTGTCCTTGGCATTATGGTCAATGGCCCTCAATCCGGAAATCGGTCATTTTCCTGTCGCTGTCAGGGTGCGAATAACCGCAGATGATTCGTACCTTTTCGATGAAAACCCATTTTCACAACCTATCAGCGAGGAAACAAGCCCATACTTGCCTTGAGAAACTGGAAACGTTGAAAGTGTCGTAAAATGTCATGTTTCAAGGAGCCGAGATGTTTTCACAATGAAAGGCGCTCGCTAATGGTGAAGAATGTGACCTCCGCGTATTTGATCAAAGTACTCACTTGGTTGAAGTGAGACAGTAACAATGACGATTCTTAAAGGGACTCATAAGAAAACGTGTTGATGCGCAGTTCGATCACCGCCTGATCACAAATTTCTTGGTGTTTGCATGACGAAGTTCTCATGCTCATCCCAATCGGAAATGTTTCCTGGTCATAATTCCCTTTGGATAGTTATGAATACTAGTACTACTAAGCCAATAGATTATCTATAGAAGCGCCACGATGCTGCTTCGGGAAATTTCATTCTTTGAAAAATATCTGTTGTCAGCTGGTTTATACAGAAAGTAGGGAAAGCAGAGCATTTAGTCGAGCTTGTTTTGAGTTAAAAACCTCAAGCTGTTTGATTTTGGAACTGGGCCTCGCCCCTTTATGCTATCTAACAATTATTTCTGGTGCTTGCGTCATCTTCTTGCTTATCTTCCGAGAGGCAGTAGTTAAAGCTCACCTCTGAGCCGGCTTTTCGAAGTGTTCAAAGAAGGCTTGCCCCTTATAAAACATAGCAGTCCAAGAAANCTGGGCCTCGCCCCTTTATGCTATCTAACAATTATTTCTGGTGCTTGCGTCATCTTCTTGCTTATCTTCCAAGAGGCAGTAGTTAAAGCTCACCTCTGAGCCGGCTCTTCGAAGTGTTCAAAGAAGGCTTGCCCCTTATAAAACATAGCAGTCCAAGAAACCACAACGTTTGGCTGACTTCGAATGAGTTCAAATTCAGATCAGAGGTAGAGAAACTCGAGGTCAAGCAATTGTTTTGAACAAAGCGGCATGTTTATAAGGGCGGAGGTGGTGTAGGGGCAAGTGGCGCACTATCGCCCACGAATGGTCACGTGTCCTAATACCGAATCGATTTCCGCCTATGCAAACCGAGCCTTTCAGACCTCTGGGGTTGGTTAATTGGTGCAGGACTCGTCTGGGAGGATAAAAAGCCCTGGCTGCTGGCCACCGGAAGTCATGCCAAGCATTCAATACGCCACTATGATCCGGAGTGGAAGTCGAATGCGGAGCGCATGCCTCAGACGGATCCAATTAACGCTGGAAGACTATCCTTGCGACCTTGTACAGTGTTGATATTGAATTCATCCTACAGAACAGAATTTACACCTTATACCACTCTTGCCATCACTCCTTTTCAATATCCCCTATTACTTGTTGCATATTTATGGGCATATAATATTTGCAGCCTGCGCAAGGCAACGGAGACTATTCCTCGACAAATTCGCTCAGAATGAGCTACTCGGTCTGGCTATACCTCAATGCGAACATGATGGAAGATGGTACAGGAAACGGTAAGGAGCCAATTCCCGTCGGTTTTATCCATTTAAGGGTTTTTTGGTTTTTTTTCCGATACAAAGCTTTCTTCATTTCATCACGCATTTCGCGTTAGAATAAATTAAATTTATTGTAGGCAATGTCTTGCCGGGACAGAAGCTTGCTGGTGCGTCACGCCTTTGGGTCGACGATTTGTGGGAGGTGGGGCGGACTGCGAAACACGGCGCAGAAAACAGGAGAATCTGGCGCTGAAAGCCGTAAAACTCCGAGACGAGCTCATCCGAGGAAAAGTATGCGTTCCGCTGAGTTGAGTGCCGTCATGGTGCCATGCATTAAACTCCAGAACATATTGCCACGTAGCCATGGTTAGAGATGCTGATCCTATCTTTCGGCATGTTAATGGCTTGCTCCCATCAGAGCGGAACATTTGTCCGCCGCTGTGGATCATTACCATTCATTTTACTTTCACTTTCGGATCAGTCAGGGCTTACTGTAACCGCTTTCCAAAGCCAACGGGGCTTGTTACTCATTGTGCTGTTGAAGAGGGAAGTAACAGAGTTCCTACCATTGAGCAAATAACTTTTGAACGCCAGAAAGTCTTTCAGGTCTGTGAAGAGTACCGTGACGGGGACTGCCCATCGTCTTCAGCTGGGAACGCCACCGTCGAAATGCCGTGTCTTTGCGACTCTGACTGTCCAAAGACGTGGAAGTGTTGCGAACATTCGAAACGACTCATTTGTCTAGCTCCTGGTACTAACCAACTGAACTAACCGCTATGCTTTTCTACTGCTTCCATTTTTGTTCTCATCTAATTACCCATCACTCTCCTTCGTTTTTAACCTTGAATATGTTTAACCTTGGGACTTGGAAAGGTTTGAGGCCATTCATTCAATTGCAGTGTCACCAATACAACCAATGACACTTATCTGTGCTGCAAATGAGCAGTTTTCCGCCTGTCACTCTCCATGTCAACCGTCCTGTGATGATCCAACTTTGGCGCCATGTCCACCACCTACATGCACCCCTGGTTGTCATTGCCAGCCCGGTAAGTACCTGATGTATTTGCGTGACATATTGTAAGTATGAATTGGACGTATTAGATGTACTGCAGCCCATCGCGGAAAAATAATGGAGCTTTATCATTTTCTCAGTTCAAAATTTGGTCAGGCGGGAAATTTCGTAAACGAGATATTTTCTATGGCGACTTCTGTTGATATTGTATATTGAAGGCACAGTTCACGATTGCTTGGAGGCATCCTTCATTAGGTAGAAAGCAGAATTGTTGGTGGAAGATAGTGCATAGATGAAGAAGAAAACAAGAAAATCGCTGAATCCGCTAAAAACAAGGCTTTTGAATAGTGGAGGAGATAGAGGATGTACGAGATTACATTGACCGAACAGCATGGAAGAGGTATCGGGCAAGTTGTCAAATGTTGCGTAGACACTGACTACATTGAGCCAAAATTGTTCAAAACTGTCGCCATGGGTCATGACATGTTATGAGCTTCCTCCATGGGTGTCCCTTGAGGATGATGCAAACTGCTCAGAGCCGCGGAAGCTCCGCTTTCGGGTGTGACATACAGCCGATTCAATCTCTGAGCACTTACAACCCCTAACTAGGCTTATTCCGAGCTGAAAATGCCACATATGATACCACATATGATATACGGAGGACCACAGATACATCTTAGAGAGAAATATCCATTTTATCGTGAACTGTGCCTTTGCTCGTGGTTATGGACTGACCGACTTTAGCGCTCATCATTGTGACCTAAATTTGAAGTAGAGTAAATTAGAAAGATAATCTGACCTTACTGTACTACACTACTTCGAGTTTGTGCCCCTAAAACGGCGTGAGAGTCGTTCAAATCGTCACGAACTTCGCCGCGCAATTTGCCGCGCGCATCCTCAGACGCACGTAA